CAGATTTGTCTTGTGTTTTACAACCCCACTTTTGAACCTCGAGTTACACGAATTCTTAGGCTCGTCTCCGCGTTAATTTCTTAGATTGCACTAGCGTACAATCTTCATCGAAAACTAGAGAATTCGTAGCGATATTGAGTGGTACTTGAATTATTGTATGCTCAGGCAATCGAGGAGATCTCCAAGAGGAACTCGGAGCGGACGCCTAAAACGCTTGTTTGAGACCTATTGCGCTTGTTTGACTAGGTGAGTGTTCCATATAGGAATACGTAATGGAATAAGTCTAGGACATGCTCATTTCATGATTTCTAAGTGTTAAGTACTATGTGTTAAATATTTACCATACACATGCTTGAAAATACTCGAATAACATGACTTGGTATGCTATGGTTGCATACGTCGTTGGAGTGAATCTTCTCGACTCTCACATGGTAAAAATGGGATAACGGCCAATGATGGCCTATTAATATGGCAAATGCCTGCCAAATAACCGTCATTACTCAACCGTTAACCGTTAACCGTGAACCGTTTACCAACCCACATGACTACCTGATTACTTGATTATTTGCTCACATGATTTCTAATCTATATGATTATTCGATATCCGTGAATTACATGCTCCCATGAAATCAACTTGTATTGCTTACGTGCTTACGTGCTAAGTATCCACTTGATTACTTGATTATCATGAATCACATGTTATATGAAGTTGTCCATCATTGTTAGGCGAGTGTGTACTTTACCTCACTCGACCAATTGAAATGATGAATTTTACTTTTTGTCGAATTACTTGGTTACCTGTGCATGTTGTAAGCTATAAGCTGAACTTGGGCCCTGCCTCGGTTACTGACCTACTCGAGCCAGAATTGGGTTCAGTCGGGTAGGTTGGAACCCTGGACAACCGTTTCGGTATACTTGAGTACTACCACTGGAGGGATAAGGTGATGGCCAGTCAATCGAAGGAGTTACCGATCGGAGTTATAAGGACGGGAAGTGGACCGAGTACTGTATCCTTTTGTGCTTGCTTTGCTATTAATAATGTTATTGCTCTCCTAGTTGACATTTCTCGGGTAAGACTCCTCATGAGCATTAATCTCTGAGATGAAGCAATCCTTGTAATGTTCTTCTAGTCAGACGAGCCACTATTTGTTTGACTAAAAATTCATGAAAATATATTTATATGGTCATTCATTCCAAAAATACGTTAGTAATTTTAGATAATTTATGAGTTGTACTCATAGTAAAGTTACCAGCAAAAGTACTACTACTACATGTCTTTTCAAAGTAGCAATCACCCGAGTAATGATTATCACCTCATGATAACTTGCCATTGTGTAACCTCGAACCATGCATATGACATGCACAACTTTCTTGATTTGTTTGAACTGTTAGAGTGTCTTGGAACCTCACTGGGCTGTGTAGCTCATTCCACGTTGTGATTTTCTTTTACAGAATTTGAGACCAAAGGTGCTCGGAAGTAGTACTAGATTGTTTACTTTCATGAATGTAATTCGATTTAAACATTGTAGTTTTGCCTTAGGTTGCCACTTGAAACTGGAAAAGTGTAAACCCTGGATTTGTATGTGGCTTGTATGAATTTGTTACTTGGCTTGTAAGGATGTATTTGAATTGATGTTTTGTTTTTTGGGTTGTATTCGGGAAGGTATTTTAAGAATCGACGTTGGCTATCTTAAGGCACTGTTATCTCTGAAGTTAATGTGATTCTAGAAACCGGGTTATTTGGAGGGAAACGATGTTGTAATAGATTAGGTTATACTTCGGAAGGATTTTTGCTAGTTTGCTTGCGTGAGTCCTGGCGAGAGCTAGGCAGACGGCCCGCCAACCCTCTGGTTCGCCTTAGGGGAAAGTGGGGTCACCACACTATGGCCACGTTGCTGGGCAAGAGACAGCAGCTAACACCGATGGGGTGATTGCGAGGGATGAACAAGAGCAGCAGCAGTCGGATTTTGGGATGGATATGGAGCTCATTGTCGACCTGCGTGATATTCAGGAGAGGGTTGGGAATATTTCCTCTCGGGGTACATCAGAATTTAGACCCCGGAGGGGTAGTGCGACGTTATCTGACACACTTCATTTAGATTCAGTTGCCGATACGTCAGTTGCCCTGCTTCTTTCACCCAAGGGAGACGAACATCCGGACGTGGCTCAGTCAAGACAACGAGGTGTTCGTGCTCGCTTTCCTTCTGACTGCACCCTACGCTCAAGTAAGTCCTCTTCATCTAATTCCTTTGCCGCACTCTCCAATGATTAAAATGTTGTTTTGGAATATAAGGGGTGTTACTCGCGTCCTTAACCTTCGACGGCTTACCAAATTAGTTAAATTACACTCTTTACATTTGGTGGCGATTTGTGAGCCGAAAGTGGCTTTAGATAAGATGGATATTGTGCGACTCAAGTTGGGAATGGATTGGGGTGTTGCGAATCACTGGGGTACCATTTGGATTTTCTACAAGTCGGTCCTCTCATGTTCTGTTGTTGGAGAATCGAGTCAACATATTTCGCTTCAAGTTTAATGTCCTATGTTTCCTTCTACCGTTTCTTTCTCTTTCGTCCATGCCAAGTGCACCGTGCAAGAGCGCGAGTCACTATGGATAGAATTGTTGCTGGATAGGCCGACTGCGACCCCTTGGTGCTTAGCGGGAGACTTTAATGTGATAGTTCATGAGGAGGAGAAGCGAGGGGGGTTGCCATTTCGACTGAGCGATGGGCTGGAATTTGGGCGGTTTATGTTGGAGGCCGGGGTATCTGACGCGGGTTTCTCCGGCTCAAAGTATACGTGGTGTAATAATAGGCAAGGGCGGGCAAGAGTATGGAAGCGCCTCGATAGAGTACTCCTCAACTTGGAAGCGTTGCAGATGGGTTCTAACATTTCGGTTCAGCATTTGGCGAGGGATCCGTCGGATCACTCGCCGCTCCTGATGTCGGCTGTTACCCGCTTGGATAACAAACCAAAGCCTTTCCATTTCTTAAATGTCTGGACCACCAAGGGAGGGGTGTTAGAGGTCATCCGGGATGCGTGGTCATGTGAGTTGAGCGGGCAACCATTCGGGGTTTTGGCAGCAAAGTTACGGACAGTCAAGCAGGCTCTGAAGAGGTGGCCTAAGGAGTCTTTTGGCGACATCTTTAAGGCGGTCAGAGAAGCAGAGCGGGCAGTACGGGAGGCGAAAATAGCACAAGAGCATGACTCGTCAGACCATGTGCTACGTGATTTGAATGTTGCCCGTGAGCGGCTAAGGGCTACTTTGGCTACGGAGGAAGGTTTTTGGAAACAGAAGGCCAGGGTGAGGTGGTTGAAGGATGGGGATAGAAATACTCAATACTTCCATGCGGTGGTAGCGGAGAGGAGGAGCAGGGCGATCATTCATAGGATCCGTGGTGCTAATGGCGAATGGGTGGAATCGGAGGAACTCATTAGTAGAGAGGCAATTTCCTTCTTCCAGGGGCTTTTCACAGCGGAGTTGGGTTATGCCTCGTATGAGTTCTTAGACAATATTCCGAAGTTGGTGACGGATCGGGATAACACTCGACTTATGGAGCCCCCCACCATGGCCGAAGTCAAGCAGGTGGTTTTCTCGATGGATGGGGAAAGTGCCGCTGGTTCAGATGGATTTACGGGGCAGTTCTTCATGTTTGCTTGGGAAGTGGTAGCGGAGGATGTGTATAAGGCTGTCTTAAGTTTCTTCTGTGGGGCGGAGCTGCCACGAAGCATCACCGCCACTACCGTTGTCTTGATCCCTAAGGTTCAGTGTCCCTAGGACTTCACACAATACCGTTTGATAAGCCTCTGTAACTTTATCAACAAAGTGATCTCTCGTATTCTTTCGGATCATCTTGCCCCGATTTTACCCAGCCTCATTTCCGCCCAACAGAGTGGTTTTGTCAAAGGGCGACAGCTCGCGGACAACTTTTTGCTGGCACAGGAGTTGGTGTCGGATATTGGGAAGTCTTCACGCGGAGGCAATGTTGTGCTTAAGTTGGATATGATGAAGGCCTATGATAGGGTGTCCTGGAGCTTTCTTTTGCAGGTGCTGCGGCGGTTCAGATTTTCTGAGACATGGATCGATGCTATTTGGAGGTTGGTGAGCAATGTGTGGTTCTCAGTTCTGATCAATGGGATACCGCAGGGATTCTTCCGGTCCTCGCGGGGTTTGCGGCAGGGTGACCCATTATCTCCAGCTTTGTTTGTCATTGGGGCGGAAGCCCTCTCTAGGGCTCTGAACGCTTTGGTCGAGCACCGCCAATTTCATCCGTATAAGGTTCCGATTGGCTGCCCGATTGTTACTCATTTGGCTTTTGCCGATGATGTGGTCATTTTCACCAGCGGGTTGAAGTCATCTTTGCGTCTCTTAATGCGGGTCTTGGAAGATTATTGTGCTATCTCGTGCCAGATGATCAATAAGCAAAAGAGCTGCTTTCTGGTGCATCCCCGGTTATCCCCGCTCCGCTGCAGAACTATCAGGCATTCAACGGACTTTCAGAAGAGGGAATTCCCGGTCAAATAATTGGGTTGCCCGTTATTCGCTGGGCGTCGAAAGAAGGAGTATTTTGGGGAGATTTGCAAGGGCATTGCCAGCAGAATCTTGTCGTGGAAGCAGCGAATCCTCTCGCCGGGGGGAAGAGTGGTTCTGCTTAAGCATGTTCTATCCTCCATGCCAATCCACTTGTTGGCGGCAGCGTCCCCTCCCAAGGGAGTCATGCAAGAAATGGAGAGAGTCATGGCGGCATTTCTCTGGGGCGTGTCAGAGTTTGGACCACGGTTTCACTGGATGAAGTGGGCAGATCTGTGTCGTCCATATAGCGAAGGGGGGCTGGGCCTCCGGAGGCCAACAGAGGTGTTTTAAGCATTCTCCATGAAGCTATGGTGGCATTTCAGACAGGGGCGATCCCTTTGGGCATCCTTCCTTGCTGCCAAGTATTGTAGAAATCGGCACCCCTGTCTAGCGGAGGAGCGGATAGGGAGTTCGTACATTTGGAGACGTATGTGTGAGGTCCAGGGGGTAGTGGAGGACAACATCAGATGGATTGTTCGAGCAGGAATGATGAGCTTTTGGCATGACAACTGGATAGGGTCCGGTCCATTGTGTCATCGAGTGGAGGTATTCCAGAACCAGCAGGTAGCGGATTTTGTTACTGGTGGTGAATGGAACGCCCAGTTACTCTCACAAGTTCTACAGCCAGAGCTAGTTCAGCTAGTGACGGCGATTGCCGCTCCGACGCTTCAGGGGGAGGATAGGATGGTGTGGATGTTAACCCCTACTAGGGAGTTCTCAATTGCTTCGGCTCTATCGCTTATACGCTCTCAAGCTAATAGGTCTCTCGGAACCACCTGCATTTGGCACAGGTTCTTACCATTCACGGTCTCTTTTTTCATGCTCCGCCTCCTTTCAGATAGGTTACCCTTACTTGAACAGTTACGACGTTTTGGTGTCCAAGGTCCATTTCGATGTGCCTGCTGCGCCAACCCCCAGGAGGAACGGTTGAACCATGTGTTTTACACAGGGGAGGCTGCCCGGCAAGTGTGGAAGGCATTTGAAGTCCCAGATGGGAGAAACTCTCGTATCTGCTCAGCCCGCCATATGGCAATTGCGTGGTGGATATGCCCAGCGCCGAACAGGTACTTGGCGTTTGTCTATCGCCTCTTGCCTTCTTTGATCTGTTGGGAACTGTGGAGAGCAAGAACTAGTGCTTTAATGCAAGGAGGGAGGTCAGAGGGGGGTGTAGTGGTTGACTGGACCTTGTCGAGGGTGAGGGATCTATTGCACTTACAATTCCCTTCGCTTTCATGGGCCCATGGTTCTTGGGGGGATTTGTACGCGGATTTGGCAGGTCGGCCTAAACGGGTGCACATTTGGCCTGTGAAGTGGGTGGCCCCGAGAGCAGGATGCAAGTTGAATACGGATATGGTTGCTCTTTGGGCAATCCAGGGCTCAGTGGAGGGGGAGGGCTTTTACGAGATTCTCAGGGGGGCTTTCTACTTGGTTTTTCCTGTTTCCTTGGCATCACCACCAGCCTACACGCCGAGTTACAGGCCTTACTGTATGGGGTAAAACTTTGTGTAGATTGGGGCTACAGGGAGCTCCACCTGGAGGTGGACTCCTTAATCCTGGTTCAGATCATATCAGCGGAGCTTGCATGCCCCTGGCGTTTGCAGGTGGAATTGGACGATTTGTTGCAGCATCAGAGCTTGTTTCGATCAATAACACATTGCTTTAGGGAAGCGAATAAACCATCCGACAGGCTGGCTAAGATGGGTGCTGATCGGGGCAGGGATGTTTTGTTTGAGTCCTTTGCAGAGCTACCTCCTATGGCGCGTGGTGACATACGGATGGATAGGTCTGGCTTTCCTAGCTTTCGGAGAAGGATTATGTAGCTTGAAGTTTGTTTCTTTGGTTGATGTAATCGCTCCTGTGGGGGTAAGAATCTCTCTCTTGCAATAAAAGTATCTTGCTTTAAAAAAAAAAAATTGCTCAGGAGTAGAAGAGATAATCAATTTATGTTTGCAAGATAGTAAGTAAAAACGAAAGAATATCAAAACCAATATTTCCAAGCTGCTCTTGAGTTTGAGTATCACTTTATAGAACAAGTCTCTTCAAATGGATCAAATACAACCAATCTTTGTATACAAAGAAAGGATCACTTCCTCCTTGTCCCAAGCTACGCTTGGTCAAACTAAGAAGTTTTACTATCACTCGGATAACCCTCACAAAACTACATTATTGAAGTATTTATCTTACACAAGAAAAGCTTACGCGAAATTCACACAAAACAAGAGTACAAATCTTCTTTGAAGAGTATTTTCTCACTAAAATCACTCTAAATTTTTTGTAGTTTTACTATGCAAAAGTGGTCTGGAAGTGGTTGACCATGCTCTATCTATATGAGACCAAAAAGTTTCTCTATTAATGCTTCCAACGGATAGAAGGCAGTTGAAGAGTCAACTAGCCGTTGGTAGTGTCGGACGTCCGGTAGATCTGTTTCTTGCATCCGACAGCAGGTAGTGAGGTCAAGAAATTTATTTCAATTCTTTCGGACGTCTGGTACCTTCAATGTTTGCGTCCGAAAGTAGACAGTGAAACTGAGAATTCTTTTTCAATCATTTCGGACGTCCGGTGCCTCCAATACTTTGCGTCCGAAGTGTTGCAATGTTTGTCGGACATCCGGTGCTCTAATGCTGTGCGTCCGATTGAAGTTAGTGAGTTTAGAAATTTTGGACTAAGATTAACATTTATATATCACCATATCTATAGAAATTTTGGACATATCATCATATGACCATGCAAATACATCTTAAAATACAGTTAAAAATTCAATCTTCTCTTTCCTTTGTTCCTTATTCAAATGCACGCTGATATTGATTTCTTTAACCTTCATCTTAGAGCCAATGTTAATAATTTCCATATTTGCTAAATTCGGTTTGGATTTCTCTTCATATTGTTTAAAAATATGTGAAATAGACTCTTGTTCTTCCTCGTTATCACTCTCGTTTTGAATTTTAGATTCTATAATTTTAAATTCATGAAAATATCGAAATTGCAATCATTGAATTTCAAAATGATGATATCCAAAGGATCAAACGATATTATTTTTGGCCATTTGAAAATAAAGTAAACACTCACAATAAACAAGTAAACAATAATACTGAACAAGAGATTGAATTTAATATGCACAATGAATAGAGAAAATAATACGCACAACGAATAGAAATATTCTATTTCATTGAATTTAAAAGAGCAGATAGCTATTGAACAAGGACAACTACTTTCGTAAAGTAAAATGTTAGTTAAAAATACATCCCTACCAAAACTGTGCAGTGGAAATAAGACTCACATATTAACATAATACTGAAAGGAAACAAATAACTAAACATATAAACAATTATTGTCTAAGATTTTGTCTAAACACGGATTTCAACCAGAAACAATCCCTAAATTTATCAAAATTCTCTTAGAGAGGAAAGATAATCAGCAATCCAATTTTATATAGTTCCTTTGGAAATTGCTGGAAACTCCAAAATCTTTGACAGTTCATCCTCACAAGTAGCTCCAATGAACAGTTGGGATAGACTCTACTTAATCTCATCATCGAATTTTCCTCCTCTAATTCAGATAGGATTATCTCTAACAGACAAGTAAAAGTGTACTATAGCGGTGAGATACTTATGATAATTTGTTTACCTTTTCTGCTTTCTTGCGAGTTTATATCTCTCTTTAATCCTTAGCAATAAGTTGAAATCCTAATCCAAATATGTCCTTTTATACTGGAAGCTCTATCGGCTCCAAAATCCCTTGCAGATTCCTTCTAAGTTCTTTTCTTATCTCGTACCCTCTTTAGATCATTTTCTTGGCCATCATGATGCTAGTTTCAAGTGCATCTTTTTTTTTTTTTTGAAAACCCATCCGACTGACATGATATCGACAACGCGATGAAAAGAATTAAGACTCTTTCTACTACTTTCTTCATTTGAATCGGAGTTGATAATCATGGTGTAATCATTTTCAGTGTACAGAACGTTGTAGACACTTGAGAAGTTCATCATTTGGCAGACAACTTGAAATTGAGCGGGTCATATCTCTAATACTAAGTCAACTTCACTCATTGACTCTCTCCTTGCACCATCAAATCCTCTTATTACAATCGCTGATGGGCAAAGTCTAACATCACAAAATCCAAGTTTTACAATGTATTCCACAAGTAGATGTTCAAAGCGGATTCGTTTTCAATCAAAACTTTGACTAATAACTTTTCATTACAATGCACTGAGATATACAACACCTTGTTATGCTCAATGCCTTTTGCAGTCAAGTCATCGTAAAAAAAACTTATATAATTAGAAGTCAAAACATTTTTCACGACGTGAGTGAACTTATCAATTGAAATATTCTTCGGTATGTGAGCTTCACTCAAGATCTTGAACAACACCTCTCTATGTGGCTTAGAAGTCAAGAGCAAATTCAGAATAGAGATTTGGGTGGGCATTTCACCCAATTGCTCAATAATCCGATACTCGCTCTTTTTCAGTATTTTTAGAAAATCTAATGCCTCCTTCTTAGTCACAGTTGGTCTTAGCGATAGTGTGAGGACCCAAAAATTTTCTTATATTAATCTCATATTACTGGCTTATTTGAATATTTATTCACCCATTTTTTCTGAATAATTTATTTCAACCATTTTAAAATCATTTACATGGAACTATGCCTTACGTATATTTTTAAAATGTTCCGTTAGCAAATTTAAATTTTTGGAAGTTCGTTTAGTGAGAAATAACGAATATACGTTTTTCGAGACAATATTCGATCTGAGAGTGCAATGATCTTGGAGATTTGAGGAGTCATGCTTTAGTCTTAAAATAGTTATTTTTATGATTATTTACCCTAGTATTAGTTACTTATATTATCATTACAAGAATTTCTTTTAAGTTTCGCTTTATCGCCCGCGAATTGGAAGTTCGCGTTTTTGGCATCAAATCGACCCAATGGAGATTTAAGAAATTTATTCTAGACTACTAAGAGTGAATCATTATAATGTTAAATGAAGTACATTAGAGGTTTAGTGCACAATTGAAACAAACTCGAGAAAAAATGAATACGAAATGCGCACGTGACACTATTAAGAGTTGACCTTTGAAGGAATTTTAACCCCAAACACTCAAGCTTCTCCAAGAAGCTTCATTCATTAGCCTTCGCTCACTCTCTCTTCACTCACCATAGCAGGCCAACCTCCAAGCAAGGAAGCAGAAGAAAACTCCTCACCATTTCACTCCAAATACTACTCCATATCTGTGAGAACCCTCAAAAAATATATATAAATATCAGTGCATATCTCATTTGCATTTTTAATTCTTTAATAAATTTTAGCATTAAGTCTAATTGTTTTTAAATAAGTGCGTAGAAATAAATTTTATGTACAAAATAAAAGAATTGTGCTAAATTATTAAATTTCCTAGTTTTGTTACATTAAATTCATATTTCAAAGGTAAATTATTTCATTGATATAACAATTAATTTCTTTGAATTCCGATAGCTAATCTTAAGCGTTAATAATGCTAAGTGTTAATAGGAACCTTAGAATTAAGATGAATTGATATATTTTTGATAAACCGTTACAAGTACATTGGGTGCACTTAGGAGGTTAAAATCTCGATAATTGAATTTTGCAAGATTAGCATTCTAGTAGGTATCCAAATTGCATTTGGGGTAAATTTTGGAATTAGAATAGAACTAAGGACTTAAAGGGGATATTAGGAGGAGATGTGAAAAGACTAAACTACCCTCCACTATCTCACAAATAACCATGCAAACCCAAACACTCTCTCGAACACCCTTATAACACAAACATCCCACTCGGCCGAATGCAATCTTCTCCACTTCAACACTCAATCTCTCAACCGCGCATCATTCGCTCTCCACCATCTCACCTTATACCACAACAACGTTCCATTCCATCTCCCTCACCTCGTGATCATCGATCAAGTGAGAGAGAGAGGGAGAGAGCTTCCATTTCCTTTCTGAGCAGAAGCTGGAGCAAGAAAGGAAACCGCGAGCTGTAACTTTGCTGTTCTGTCCGTAAGAGCCGAGCCTACTTCACCCTCTGACCGTTTCATTCTTCACCTTTTTTTTCAACCTCCACCAGCTGTAAACATCCTCAAACCCCAACACCATCACAGCCGCAACCACTGCAACCAGGAACACCACATCTAGGCGCGTGCGAACCGAGAGGGGAGAACATCAGCTTTCTGTCGCGCGTATAAGCTTCACTGTGAGGTAATTCCTGAGCTAGAATAAGTTGTTTAGTGATAGATTGAGCCATCTATGGACATGCATGTTGAGCTGTGCGGTTGGATGATGAGTTAAAGCATCAGAAATTCTGATTGTGAGAGAAATAGGAGCTGCCGAGAGCTAAACTGGAATTTGTAGCTTTAATCGTCTAATTCGATGCAATCTGAGCTTAGATATACGTTTAGCTAATTATAAATGGGATGATTATGCTTTGCATGAGGCTGCATAGCTCTGATTAAGCCAGAAGATTGAAGTAGAATAGGATCGGTTGCATGCAAGCCATCCGAGAGGAAGGAAATAAAATTCTGATTGATGTTTTCTTTCTTGATGATGACCGAACCTAGCTTTGGATTAAATCTGGTTAATTATGCCTTGCATGATGTTAATTAGTGGTGATCAAACAAGAAAATTAAAGAGATACAAAATCTGTTTGCATGCGAGCTGTCCGAGGAGAAGTGGAAAATTTTTGGTCAAGTGATGACCTGTTTTTCTCTTGAAACTGTCCGAACTTGATGATGAATTAAAATCTGATTTTGGAATTAAAACTGATAGCTAATCAGTTAATCTAACCAGGCATGCTGCTGTAATGAGCCGT